TCTGAAGGGAATGCGCCCCCGATCTACATAAATGCCTCTATGTTCACACGAGTCATTCGTGATCCAGCCTCATCTACAGAAGAAGTGAGTGTAAGGTTTGCAAATCGCCTTTCCAAATAATGTGCTAATTAGCAAGTTTCACGATGAATGCGGCTGAAGTAAACAGTCTCTCTGAGAGCAGCTCGGAAGAGAGGGGCGGAGTCAGCAGAGCTCATTAACATTTAAAGGAAAATGCTACAAAACGGCTTGCTCTGAAAAGAGCTGTTTTTGACAGTAAAAAAGGTGTTTTTACATTACCATTGAGAAATTTTAACCAAACTATGTTACAGACTTTTCTTTAAGACCATAAAAAATCATATCAACTTGTGGAAAATGGGCATCCTATGTTTTAGGTTTATTCCTATCTTTTGATTTTATTTATCCATTTATATTTTTCTGGCTTTGAGTGTCTTCAAAACAAATAAACATTTATTCATGGAGAGAGTAACATTTTTTATTTTCAATCATTCATTCATTTATTTTTTGGTATTTTATTTTATTTATTAAACTTTCATCCTCCTGGAAAGGTTGGACTGATTTCTCAGGACAAAAATATTTAACATGTCAGGTTGGGGCAGGTTATATGTGTTTTATATGTTAATTTCACATAATTTATTAATTACAGTACATGCTGGCCACACGGTTTGGTATTTCTATAGGTTACGTTTACATTTTTGTTCATTTTGCATCAAATTTTATGGAAATATTTATTTATTTTTTGTTTGTTTTAGTGAATGATGCGATGCACCAAAACACAACAAACACACACTATTATGATAAACCAGAGCTTTATTTAAATAGTTAGTCTTCACATCTTCTTGCTCCTCCTGATCATGCTGGTTCCTCCTACTGTCAGGGTCTGGAAAGAGAAAATGACAAACGTTCATATTTGACAGATGTAGACAGTTGTGAGCTCTGATGAGCAACACGTGCACGAGTTCATCAGAACAGACCTCCACCATCTCTCCTCGCTTGATCTCCTGGATGTGAGAGAATCGATCCGTCTGACAGACCAGCTTCCCTCCCTCCAGTCTGACAGTGCACTGAAACACCAGAGAATATAAGCATTGTCCGGCAGAAAGCAAACTAAAACATATCATTGTAATATATAATATTGCATATTAATATATGTATACATGTAATATTAATATAATATAATATTACAAAATATTAGAAAAAATTCAAATATAAAAATGATACAATTTATACACACACACACACACACACACACACAATATATAGTTTTAATATAGTTAATACATAAAGTACATATTAAAAAATAATTTATATATGCAACTATAAAAATAGAAAATAATTATAATGTGTGTGTGTGTGTGTGTGTGTGTGTGTGTGAGATAATTTTATCATATTATATATATATAGAGCCCATTTAAGAATAATATCCAATCAGCTATAACCACTTTTTTCAGTTGTACTTTTTCAGTACTATAAATATATATTTATAAAATCAACCTGAAATTAAAATATATCTTTTCACTTAATCTTATTATACTGTACACGATTCACCGGTGCATGTTGTTCCAAAGAAACAAATGTCTTTGTCATTTTAAATTTTTTTTAATTAAGAAAAGATCTTGATCTCTCGTGAAACTGAGCTTCTGTACTCTATATCAACTCTTCTTGAACAGTTCGACATCACGAAGAGATATAAAGCCATGTTTTACCTTGAGCTTCTTGCCGTCCATGGTGGTGATTTCAGCTTCCCTGCCGATGGTGAAGGAGTTTGTGAGGGATTTCCCAGGAGTTTTGGATGTGATGGTGAAGTCGTTGCCGTTTTGTTGGATTTCTATCACTGGTTTAACATCCTTGGCCATTTTTATGACATCTTCTGGCAGAGCTGAAGGAACAAAAACACACAGATAGTGAGCGACCTACAAACATGACAAGAGAATTCAAATGAAATCATTTCAGATTTTCCATCTCATGCTTTCTTTCCCAAAAGCATTGCATAAGTAGATAGTGGAAATGTGATGCTCTGGGGAAATGCAACCCTGATCGTTTCACAAAAACTCACAGATGGCTCTCAGGAACTCCTCGTAGTTCTCCTGCACGTAAACCTGCCACGTTCCACTGAAGGCCATGTCTGCTGCTGATCTGACCGCTGGCAAGATCCTTGGACCGCTGTGAGAAGCTCAACACAATGTGAGGAGGACGTTCATCTCAGACCAGTACTTATACTCACTATGAGTTTAATCATTGACATTCTGCCAGTCTTCCCTTCTGTTTGAACAACCCAGAGTTCACTAACATCATTCGTGAAGTCATGCTTCTCTCTAAATCCAGTCTTTTCTTTTAAAAAGACAATTCAATATGATGGAAAATTACACCAAGCCTTAACTTGCATCCATTCATCTATTACATCTCAAATATATTTAGAAATCTGTGACGTTCACTGGAGTCAGAGACTTTATTTTTATTATTATTTAATTTTAAGGAAATGAATACTTTCATTCATCAGGGAAGCATTACACTGACCAGAAGTGACAGTAAAGACATTTATAATGTTACAAATGCTTCAAATAAATGCTGTTCTTTTGAACTATCTATTCATCAAATAATCCTGAAAAATAAAATGTATCACAGTTTTCATAAAAATATTGTGCAGCACAACTGTTTTCAACATTGATAATAATCAGAAATGTTTCTTGAGCAGCAAATCAGCATATTATACTGATTTCTGAAGATCATGTGACACTGAAGACTGGAGTAATGATGCTGAAAATACAGCTTTGATCACAGATAGAAATTATATTTTAACAGATATTCACATAGAAAGCAGTTATTTTGAAGTGTAATAATATTTCACAATTGTACTGTTTTTACTGTATTTTTGGTCAAATAAATGCAGCCTTGGTGAGCAGAAGAGCCTTTAATCAAAAACACTAAAACTTCAAGATTATTTGACTCAGTGGGTGATTCTGTGAGGTGGATTTAAACATGTTCAATGTAGCTGAAAGCACGACACTCTTATTAATAGCTGAATGCATAATCAGATTAACCAAACTACTTGATGAATTCATAAATGAACACACAATGGATGGACAATAGGGTTCGTGAGCATGTATGAGATGCCAGACGCTCTAAAAAAAAAAGGAATAAACCACACTTAACTACTAAATGAAACAAATATGATTATATAAAAATAATTGTATAAATCTATATGCAATAATGCATCAAGATTTTCAGTCTAACAATGCTGAATTGATGCAGTGACACTCAAAACTAAAGTTAAAAGAGGAGATGCGGTGTGTGTGTTATCAAACTCAGAAAGAAAAACAAACATGACAACACCAGAGCAAATAATGCACAAGACACGATTTGCACGATTTATTCATGTCGCATGCAGTTTAGCATCATACACTGAGGGAGTGATGTGGCACAGAAAACAAACAAGAAAAAATAAAATGGCACTTCATGTCAAAAAGGTTGCAAAATCCCGGTCTAGATCCTTCTCTCACTATTATCTGACTATGTTTTCTGAAAGAAACCCGTTGAAATACTAACACATGAGGGTGAATGACCATGTGGACTGTGGAGTTTGCTTTCAAAAGAATCTCCCTCGGGTTGCATAATGATATTTGAAACGGGCCTCGATCTCTCTATTATGAAATATCAGCAGATAAAACACCCATCCATCCATATACAGGCATAACAATCGATTGTGACCCCATTATAATGCTGCTGGAAAGTGTTCACAGTCTATTTGATCAACGTTTGCTGCACGCTTGTGTTCCCTGATGCTCAACTTAGTTAAGAATGAACAAAGAGAGTGAAAAAGGTTTAATTTGCACTTTATTCTGTAAGTGGCGCAAGATAAATCAGAGGAAACAAACCACAGATCAAATCAACTCAGGCTTTCAGGACACTGACCTTCAGGACATTGCCTTCTGAAGCACCATGAAAGGAATATTCAAAAGATTTGCTGAAAATGTCCTCACCCTCAGTCCATCCAAGATGTAGATGGGTTTGTTTCTTCATCAGGTTTGGAGAAATGTAGCATTGCATCAGTTTCTCAGCAATGGATGCTCTGCAGTGAATGGGTGCCGTCAGAATGAGAGTCCAACAGCTGATAAAAACATCACAATAATCCACACCACTCCAGTCCATCAGTTAACATCTGGAGAAGACAAAAGCTGAAACAAGTCCATAATCCATAATAACGCTTCTCCAGTGATACAGTCATCTGGTCTGAATCAGGCGAGAAATCTGCACAGATCAAGCACTGTTTACAAGCCAAAACAGCTCTAAACAAATCTGTGTGTGGAGTTTGATGTGAGAGACAACAGGAGATTTCACTGGAGGAAGCGTTATTATGGATTATGGACTCGTTTTTTAGTCGGAAGCAACAGTTTGAAGTCTATTTTAGTTGGAAGGACCAGTTTAAAATTAAAATTGCCTTAAAAATGGATTTGTTTCTTACAAACACACAGCTTTTGTCGTCTCCAGATGTTAACTGATGGACTGGAGTGCTGTGGATTATTATAATGTTTTTATCAGCTGTTGGACTCTCATTCTGACGGCACCCATTCACTGCAGAGCATCCATTGCTGAGACACTGATGCAATGCAGCATTTCTCCAAACCTGATGAAGAAACAAACTCATCTACATCTCGGATGGACTGAGAGTGAGCACATATTTATTTTGGACACCGTCATACAGGCTCCAAAATGAACACACACCATGTAAATAAGGCCATTGTTGACTTTAACAAAAACAGATTCACCCATCATTGATGTGGCAAAATATAACTTTACTCAATCACTGTGGCTTCTCTTACATTTGCACTGCATCTGCTCGAGGCTTTTCACCATGTTTATACACACTGACGGTCACGAGGACCGTCTGCGATCCGTGTTTATTGCGTACGAAGATGCTGTAGTTGCCCGAGTCCTCCATGGTCACGTGGTTTATAGTGAGAGTGGAGGATTTATTCTCATTTTTAATGTTATACTGGCCGGTGGAGGTGACTTCTCTGTCGTTCTTCAGCCAAAACATTTCCGGTGCAGGATCGCCCTCGGCAAAACACGTCAGACACAGAGACTAAAGAGAAAGAGCACAGTTCAGTGATACGAGCTGAATGAGAGTCAGTGATGATGGATGGATGCATGTACCTTGTCCTCCATTATGGCCACCACATCAGGAAGGCCCTTCGTGACTCGGGCTCGATCTGTCAGATGAATGCTGATTATGAAGTGTGTCGTCTGCATTAAGCAATTGCTTCATTAAAACACAATTAGTACTTACTTTTCTCAGCAAACTCCACTTGCCTGTGAATGAGTAAAAAATACAATTATAGAGAGAATGAGTTTAGAACATTTTCAAATGAACACCACTAAAAGTTATTTAGTGTAATGTTTTAACCTTTCAATAAATATACAGAAAAATACATAATGCTTCATTTATATATGCACATAAACACCCACACAATTATATATATTTTATGTATAATTATATTATAATATATTTTATATAGAATTATATAGATTATATTGTACAATGTATAATTATACAAAATAATCTTTATTATTCTATATAAAATATGCTGCACTCACATATCTATATATTTTTTTACATATTTTTTCTATTACATATATTTTTAAATATAATAATTCGACTATTATATATATAATTTATTTTAAATATAAAAATATTTATTATTTTATACATTTACATTACTATTTTTTGCACACATACACAAACAAACATATATATTTTAAATATAATAATTATATTTTTATATTCTAATTTTAATTCTATTCTATTTTATTTAAATATAATTGTATTACTTTTTATATAATAATTTATTTTATATATAATATATTATTTAATACAATGATATATACTATATATAATTTGCTGCTTATATTACAAATAATTTTAATGAATAAAAACATACATAATGTGCAATGTCATTTTATTTTCAGTTAATTTTTTTCAACACTATATATATATATATATATATATATATTATATATATATATATTGTTATTATAAAATATGAATATTCCATATATTATATTATATATGAGGGATAATTTGATATATATCTATCACACTGTTCACAGACAGCAACAGTAACTAAAGAGGGCGGAGCTTAGCGAAGGGTCAAAGGTCAAGTTCAGTGGCTGAATATTCAAGCACATCTTGACTTACTTCAGTCTCTGGTGCTCCAGCAAAGCATCTGCGAACGCTGCAGAGAAGAAAGAGAGGTGTTAGTGTTGAGGAGAATTGATTCTCGCATGTTTCGTGCCGCTCTACCTTGTCCAGACAGATCCAGAGAGCGCTTGTGTGTTTCCTGGCCGTCGAACATCTCCAGGGTGTACTTCCCTTTATCGTTTTCAGTGGGGCCAAATATCTCAATCCAAACCTTCTGCATGCTGCTGCCAGGCTTGCTCCGCTCCTCCAAGTCAATTCTCTTGTCTCTGTCACAGCGAGAGAAGAAACGATCAGAGGGAAAACAGACCCTGAATGTGACTGTACTTGAAAAAAACACACACAAATAAAAGAATAACGAACCAGTGTTGTTTTAGTACAGTATCATATTCTATATTATGTTGATTTAGTACAATATCATATCAGATATTATAGCTTTTTATTAACATTTTGAATTTGTTTGTATTTTTTTCCATTTGAATTAATTTTAGATTTTTTAAAAAATATGTCTGTATAATTTTTATTCATGTTTATTTCAGTTTTAATTTTATTATTTTAGTACATCAAGTTCAACTAAATTAAAATGAAAAATGTTGCATTGGAAACTATCACAAAAAAAATAAATATATATATATATATTTATTTATTTATAATTCAGTTATCATATATTCATGTTTATTTTATTTCAAGTAACGATATTTTAGGGTTTTAGTTTCAGTTAACTCTGAACTGAACTAACAGACAGTTACACATTTACACTTTCATTTATTTTCATGTTTCAATTTACTTTGTGTCATAAATTTGTGCTACAATTTTAGTAGAGAAATAAATGAATTTAGTTAAATGTTACAATAACATTATAAAGCGATAAAATTGTTGTGCATAGCGTAAATAAATATAAAGAATATATATAAATATAAAGAAAAATAAATAGAAAGAATATAAACAGAAAAAAACTTGATGTTACTTTTTTGTTAATGATTGGTAAAATGAAAAAATTATATTTCTTTTTAAATAATACACACACACACACACACACACACACTCTCTCTCTTACACACACACTCTCTCTCTTACACACACACACTCACTCGCTCTCTTACACACACACACTCACTCGCTCTCTTACACACACACACTCACTCGCTCTCTTACACACACACACTCACTCGCTCTCTTACACACACACACTCACTCGCTCTCTTACACACACACACTCACTCGCTCTCTTACACACACACACTCACTCGCTCTCTTACACACACACACTCACTCGCTCTCTTACACACACACACTCACTCGCTCTCTTACACACACACACTCACTCGCTCTCTTACACACACACACTCACTCGCTCTCTTACACACACACACTCACTCGCTCTCTTACACACACACACTCACTCGCTCTCTTACACACACACACTCACTCGCTCTCTTACACACACACACTCACTCGCTCTCTTACACACACACACTCACTCGCTCTCTTACACACACACACTCACTCGCTCTCTTACACACACACACTCACTCGCTCTCTTACACACACACACTCACTCGCTCTCTTACACACACACACTCACTCGCTCTCTTACACACACACACTCACTCGCTCTCTTACACACACACACTCACTCGCTCTCTTACACACACACACTCACTCGCTCTCTTACACACACACACTCACTCGCTCTCTTACACACACACACTCACTCGCTCTCTTACACACACACACTCACTCGCTCTCTTACACACACACACTCACTCGCTCTCTTACACACACACACTCACTCGCTCTCTTACACACACACACTCACTCGCTCTCTTACACACACACACTCACTCGCTCTCTTACACACACACACTCACTCGCTCTCTTACACACACACACTCACTCGCTCTCTTACACACACACACTCACTCGCTCTCTTACACACACACACTCACTCGCTCTCTTACACACACACACTCACTCGCTCTCTTACACACACACACTCACTCGCTCTCTTACACACACACACTCACTCGCTCTCTTACACACACACACTCACTCGCTCTCTTACACACACACACTCACTCGCTCTCTTACACACACACACTCACTCGCTCTCTTACACACACACACTCACTCGCTCTCTTACACACACACACTCACTCGCTCTCTTACACACACACACTCACTCGCTCTCTTACACACACACACTCACTCGCTCTCTTACACACACACACTCACTCGCTCTCTTACACACACACACTCACTCGCTCTCTTACACACACACACTCACTCGCTCTCTTACACACACACACTCACTCGCTCTCTTACACACACACACTCACTCGCTCTCTTACACACACACACTCACTCGCTCTCTTACACACACACACTCACTCGCTCTCTTACACACACACACTCACTCGCTCTCTTACACACACACACTCACTCGCTCTCTTACACACACACACTCACTCGCTCTCTTACACACACACACTCACTCGCTCTCTTACACACACACACTCACTCGCTCTCTTACACACACACACTCACTCGCTCTCTTACACACACACACTCACTCGCTCTCTTACACACACACACTCACTCGCTCTCTTACACACACACACTCACTCGCTCTCTTACACACACACACTCACTCGCTCTCTTACACACACACACTCACTCGCTCTCTTACACACACACACTCACTCGCTCTCTTACACACACACACTCACTCGCTCTCTTACACACACACACTCACTCGCTCTCTTACACACACACACTCACTCGCTCTCTTACACACACACACTCACTCGCTCTCTTACACACACACACTCACTCGCTCTCTTACACACACACACTCACTCGCTCTCTTACACACACACACTCACTCGCTCTCTTACACACACACACTCACTCGCTCTCTTACACACACACACTCACTCGCTCTCTTACACACACACACTCACTCGCTCTCTTACACACACACACTCACTCGCTCTCTTACACACACACACTCACTCGCTCTCTTACACACACACACTCACTCGCTCTCTTACACACACACACTCACTCGCTCTCTTACACACACACACTCACTCGCTCTCTTACACACACACACTCACTCGCTCTCTTACACACACACACTCACTCGCTCTCTTACACACACACACTCACTCGCTCTCTTACACACACACACTCACTCGCTCTCTTACACACACACACTCACTCGCTCTCTTACACACACACACTCACTCGCTCTCTTACACACACACACTCACTCGCTCTCTTACACACACACACTCACTCGCTCTCTTACACACACACACTCACTCGCTCTCTTACACACACACACTCACTCGCTCTCTTACACACACACACTCACTCGCTCTCTTACACACACACACTCACTCGCTCTCTTACACACACACACTCACTCGCTCTCTTACACACACACACTCACTCGCTCTCTTACACACACACACTCACTCGCTCTCTTACACACACACACTCACTCGCTCTCTTACACACACACACTCACTCGCTCTCTTACACACACACACTCACTCGCTCTCTTACACACACACACTCACTCGCTCTCTTACACACACACACTCACTCGCTCTCTTACACACACACACTCACTCGCTCTCTTACACACACACACTCACTCGCTCTCTTACACACACACACTCACTCGCTCTCTTACACACACACACTCACTCGCTCTCTTACACACACACACTCACTCGCTCTCTTACACACACACACTCACTCGCTCTCTTACACACACACACTCACTCGCTCTCTTACACACACACACTCACTCGCTCTCTTACACACACACACTCACTCGCTCTCTTACACACACACACTCACTCGCTCTCTTACACACACACACTCACTCGCTCTCTTACACACACACACTCACTCGCTCTCTTACACACACACACTCACTCGCTCTCTTACACACACACACTCACTCGCTCTCTTACACACACACACTCACTCGCTCTCTTACACACACACACTCACTCGCTCTCTTACACACACACACTCACTCGCTCTCTTACACACACACACTCACTCGCTCTCTTACACACACACACTCACTCGCTCTCTTACACACACACACTCACTCGCTCTCTTACACACACACACTCACTCGCTCTCTTACACACACACACTCACTCGCTCTCTTACACACACACACTCACTCGCTCTCTTACACACACACACTCACTCGCTCTCTTACACACACACACTCACTCGCTCTCTTACACACACACACTCACTCGCTCTCTTACACACACACACTCACTCGCTCTCTTACACACACACACTCACTCGCTCTCTTACACACACACACTCACTCGCTCTCTTACACACACACACTCACTCGCTCTCTTACACACACACACTCACTCGCTCTCTTACACACACACACTCACTCGCTCTCTTACACACACACACTCACTCGCTCTCTTACACACACACACTCACTCGCTCTCTTACACACACACACTCACTCGCTCTCTTACACACACACACTCACTCGCTCTCTTACACACACACACTCACTCGCTCTCTTACACACACACACTCACTCGCTCTCTTACACACACACACTCACTCGCTCTCTTACACACACACACTCACTCGCTCTCTTACACACACACACTCACTCGCTCTCTTACACACACACACTCACTCGCTCTCTTACACACACACACTCACTCGCTCTCTTACACACACACACTCACTCGCTCTCTTACACACACACACTCACTCGCTCTCTTACACACACACACTCACTCGCTCTCTTACACACACACACTCACTCGCTCTCTTACACACACACACTCACTCGCTCTCTTACACACACACACTCACTCGCTCTCTTACACACACACACTCACTCGCTCTCTTACACACACACACTCACTCGCTCTCTTACACACACACACTCACTCGCTCTCTTACACACACACACTCACTCGCTCTCTTACACACACACACTCACTCGCTCTCTTACACACACACACTCACTCGCTCTCTTACACACACACACTCACTCGCTCTCTTACACACACACACTCACTCGCTCTCTTACACACACACACTCACTCGCTCTCTTACACACACACACTCACTCGCTCTCTTACACACACACACTCACTCGCTCTCTTACACACACACACTCACTCGCTCTCTTACACACACACACTCACTCGCTCTCTTACACACACACACTCACTCGCTCTCTTACACACACACACTCACTCGCTCTCTTACACACACACACTCACTCGCTCTCTTACACACACACACTCACTCGCTCTCTTACACACACACACTCACTCGCTCTCTTACACACACACACTCACTCGCTCTCTTACACACACACACTCACTCGCTCTCTTACACACACACACTCACTCGCTCTCTTACACACACACACTCACTCGCTCTCTTACACACACACACTCACTCGCTCTCTTACACACACACACTCACTTGAAGTACCAGCTGGTCTTCATGTAGCTCAGGTAGTATTTGAGTGAGCAGTAGAGCTTGAAGCCCTGCGCAGTGCACTGGATGCACACTGGACCAGCAGAGCGCGCTGTGGAGCAGATGCACACATTACTAAACATGACCTCAAGTGAGAGAGAGAGAGAGAGAGAGAGAGAGAGAGAGAGAGAGAGAGAGAGAGAGAGAGAGAGACTGAAGAGGCATGACACAAACCTACCGCACTGTTTACCGAGCTCTTGCACGAGACGCTCAAACTCTGAGGGAAAGCACAGCAACACATCATATTAGAATGATTTTCTGCATGAACTAAAAATCTTGATATTAAACGCCTTCATACAGAAGTATTATTCTACATTAGAAAAGTTCATTACAGAGATTTTACTACAGATATGGAGTGAACCTAAAACCCCTTAACTGTGGTAAAATCACTGTAATCACTGACAAAATAAAATCATACATATTTAAGCACTCTTAAAATGCTAAAAATTTTAATTAGATCATAAGAGAAGCAAAATTATGAAATAAAACATCTTTAACTGCTGTAAAATCACTGAAATCACTTACACTTAGACACTAACAAAGACATCAATGTTCAGTAAATTTACTAACAATCACAATGCAAAATGTTTTGACATTTTATAATTACATTTTTTAAGTAATTTTAATAATATTTATTCAGCAACCCGCCAAAATTAAAGCTGGATGATTTTAGGTTTGAAAAGGATGATTTGACAGTGTATTTTTAAGTGTACTATAAAATTACTATTATAGTATTTTTATTTAATACTCACTTTTTATTTTATGTCACCCCTATGTATATATATATATATTTGAAATAGACACCAATAAAGTCATCAATGTTGAGTAAATGTACTACTTACTACTACTAATAATAAAAACGCCAGTGCAAAAAGAGTATATGCTTATAATATATGGACATAATTTTTATTGTTATAATTTCATTAATATGAAATTCATATTCATATCACATTTAATTAATAATTGAATTATAACAAAGAGTGAACAATTTAAGGGGGTCTGAATACTTTCCATACCCACTGTATATATATATATTTTCCATTTTAATAAAAATTTTAGATTTTGAAAAAATATGTCTGTATAGTTTTTATTAATGTCTATTTCAGTTTTAATTTTATTATTGTTGTACTTCAAGTTCAACTATAACTATACATATATATATATATACACACACACACACATATATATATATATTTTTTTTTTTTAAACATAAGATACTAAGATATTTCATGAGATTATATGTTGGATCCTACCTTGAAATCTGTAAGTTTAGTTTTTGTAGCTATAAGCTTTTATTTGAGTCAATAATCTACCACCATTTATATGATCATGTATATTACTCATATAATGGCAGTAATAATGAGTCATGTTCTCACCATCATCTATCAGCTGCAGGACGCTCTCGTCTTCTCCTCTGCTGTCGGACACTACAGCTCTGTACACACCCAGCTCCTTCCTCGTCACCTGAGCGATTATCACAGATAACACGGGTCAGTGTGATTCCACACACACTTACACTCTCACAGCCCTTCAAGACCACTGGCAGGATTTCTCCTCTATCAGGCAATTAGACGCCGTGTTAAAGGAATGATCCGGGTTCAGTACGGCTTAAGATTTATCCACGGCAGAATAGAGAAAAGTATTTGAACTAGTCCCTGTTTTTATTTGAGCAAAAGCAGAAATATTAAAGTCAAAGCAATTCCAAGAAATACAGAGTAAAATCTTTTCATTCTGCAGCTTTAATTCTAAAGCAACCTTATAACATTATTTAGTTATTGCAGATATTTCTCATGTATCTGGTGTCGTTGCACATAATATATGTTTACTAGCACTACACGGTCAGTAAGCAAGTATATTACACTAGTCTCATTTCAGGGTTATTATTATTTAGAAAAGGGCAATACCAAACTTTTTAAATTCAATATGATACCCATATATCTTTTTTTTACCTACAATTTTGACAATACTGATAGGATAGCGATACCGATACAGATATCAATACTGATTATTTCTTAAATGGTTATGTGATTTTTCAACCTAAATTAAACAAACTGAAAACATTTTGAAAATGATGCAGAAACCCATGTTTTGTATTAATATTATTTTAATATTGATATATTTTTTAAAAGGATAGATACTAAATAGGTAGCTTGTGAGCATATTTTTAACTATCGATAACTAAGATTAAATTGAAATAAATAAACATTATTTAAAATAAACATGAACTGAAATATACAATTACATTTATTTGATTTCAGCTAGTTACCAAAGGCAACATTTCTCATTTTACACACACACACACACACACACACACA